CCCTTCTCTAGGTGTTAAGGAGATCCTGACCGTCTGGTAGAAGAGGTGCTGGCTGGTGGGGAGCTGCTGAAGGAAGGTGGAGAAGAGCCAAGACATGACAGGAGTCTGTCATGGAGAGCCTGAAATGTCCACTTACTCTGGTAGGTGGTGGGAAGCCATGGAAGGTTATTAGAGAGGAAGGAGATTAGATTTAGAGAAACCAAAGGCAGGAACTATAAGAGGGCCAGAGCCAGCATACAGGGACAATCTGATGAGGGTGTGGGGCAGGGGAGGTGGCAAGGAGAGGAGGGCAAGCCTGAGAGGCATCCCTAGTAGAGGCTGACTTGGAAAGGAAGCAGGTGTGGGAGTTAAGAGCAGGGAGGGGTCCTGGTGTGGTGATGGAGGGGGACCCAGGCACAGGGCAGGCTGGGCTGAGAGGTGACGAACTGGATACTAGCTGGCTTGAGCCTGAGGTGTGTCTATGGGTTTCTGGGAGCAAGTCCAGAAAGCAGCTGGAAATGCAGATTTTACAAAAAAGGAGCCAGAGGGTCAGAGGAGTTTGTTTTTGCTCAACTTCTCAAGGCTGGGAAGGGGCCACTTCGAGATCTGAGCCTGGGTCTATTGCCCTCCTTCACAGTTAGGGTATGTCCCTTCATAGTGAGGGTGCAGAAGAGACGCAGACCCTCCTTCCCACTCCCTGGGGGTCCTGGATTCTGGGCTTGGTAGAGAGATCAGCCTTTATCCACGAGGAACCTCTGCTTCAGAGGCCGGCAGCCTCAGGGGCTCTGCCTGCTGCTCTGGGGAGGGACTGTCTACAACCAGCCCCAGCCTTCCGTATCCTCCTTCAGCAGGGAGGCCCTATCAGCAGCCTGGAGGCTGCCAGTGTGCAGGCTCAGTGCCCTGAACTTTACAGACTCCGTCTCATTCAATCTAAATAGGCCCCTTCCAGGGAAGGGCTAATATCATTGTTTCCATCTTACAGATGAAGAAACCCATCAGACCCGTGGCGGATTCATGTGATGCATGGCAAACCCCACAATATTGTAAAGTAATTATCCTCCAATTAAAATAAATTAATTAATTTAAAAAATCTGCCAGAGGTGAAGGGCCTTGCCCCCCTCCACCGTGAGGGTGGGTGGTGGGACAAGGTTTGGCCCTGCTCCATGGGAACTGAGCCCCACCTGTAAAGTGAGGCTTGCTTGAGGGCCTCCTGCCCCGCCACAATCCCCTGCGCCCACCGCTGACTTCAGGTCTGCTTTGCAGGACTTCCCCATCACCCCCACCCTCCCTGCTTTCTGTTCCTCTCAGCCCAGCTTGCCCAGCTCCCTGGGAACAGCCAGGCCCGCCCCCTCCCCCTTCCGGGCTGTGCTCCTGGCAGCTCTGCCACCCTGGGCTCTGGTCCGGGGGTGGTCCCCGGCAGTGAGGCGGGCAGGCAGAAGCTGGGATCAGATGGGCTGAGATGCAAGGTATCCGGAGACCACCCGCCCCCCCAGGCTCCCACCTTGAGGTCCACTGTGCTCCAGACTGGGGTGGGCAGGGCCCTTTGGAAAGCGGTGGCTTGAGGTTTTAATCACTTTATCAATGTTTGTTTGTGTAATTCAGCCCTTGAGATGCTTTTCCCTCCATCTGTCCCCACCATCTGCTCCCATCAGGATTTTCCAAACCATTTGGGACCCAAGAGGAGAGGGTGGGGGCTGTGCCTCTGAGGGGGGCTAGGGAGGGGCTCCCTCCACCTGCCTCACTGAGAGGTTCCAGAGAGGAACCTGGGCCCCCTAATCATATGGAACTGGGTTCAAACTCTGGCTTTGTCTCTTTCTTGCTGTTTTACCTCAGGCGGGTGACTTCACTTGTCCTAACCTCAGTCTTCACATCTGTAAAATGGCAGTCACATTACTGACTCCTCATCAATGTTAGCCACTTAGTCATGTCCAACTCTCTGTGATCCCATGGACTGTTAGCCCACCAGGCTCTTCTGTCCATGGAATTCTCCAGACAAGGATACTAGAGTGGGTAGCCATTCCCTTCTCCAGGGGATCCTCCTGACCCAGGGACTGAACCCCCGTCTCCTGCATTGCAGGCATTCTTTACCATCTGAGCCATGAGGGAAACCCATTTGGATCAGAGGAGGTGACATGTGCAAAGCACTCTGCATACAGTAGGTGCTCAAGAGATATGGGGTCGCCTTTTCACTCATCCCTCACTTAATTCTCTCAATAACTCCCTCCTGCATTGTCCACTCTCCTGGATGCCTCAGTCTGGGATGGAAGGGGGCTGAGTATCATCAGCAAGGACACCCCTCACCTCCACCCCTGCCACAGGCCTTCGTAGAACCCTTCCAATCCCCAGGGTTCCAGGGGTGCTGGAGCCTCATCTGTGTTAAGCTCATGTCCAGAATCACCCCCCACCCCCACCCCCAGGGGCCAGTGAGGCAACAAGTGAAGCTGGACTTGTTTGTACTCTGGTTAGGGATTTTGATGGGAGATGTCAACACACTCTGGTCACCTCACCTTTCTGCTCACAAAGGGGAAGAGACTTGCTCCAGGGCATCCTAAGTGAGGGACCCAGGCCTTCTGACAGCTGCTCCTCTGTCCCCCTTTTCCAGACTATATCTTGGGGCACTAGGTCCTGGGCCAGTGGCCTTGGTGGACAGTGTGGGGAACCCCATGTCTTCCCTTTGGCTCAGGGGGCTCCCAGTACTTCTTAGGACCCCAGGAGGGGAGAGGTGGCTAATGGGAAGCAATCAGCAGAGCCTACTAGAGCCCAAACTCTGCCCTTTCCCCCCACCATCCACCCTACTCATTCGAGGTACTGGAAAATCAGAGGGATGTGGGGTACCCGAGGTGAGGACAAGACATAGCCTTGTCTTCAGAAGCCCCATCTATTGGGAAGTCAGGCGGCAGACTGGAGGTCCCCAGGGCAAGGCGTCAGAGTCACCTGCACAGATAAGAAAAACAGTGGGTGGGGGAAGTAGGCTCCCTAGAGGCTGAACCAAAAAGTCAGCCCACAGGAGGTGAAGCTGGGGTGGGGAAGTGGGAGGAAGCAGAGTGGCAGGGCAGCCACTGGTGAGGGAAAACTGAGACCCCACTGGAGAGGAGGATCCAGACCTGGCTGGGAAGATTCTCAGGGTTCAGGCAGGGGAGAGGGGAAAGAGGAGGAAAGAGAGGAGGAGCCAAGGGCAGGTTCCTCTCCCGGCCCAAAGCAGAGCCAGGATTCCAGATCAGGTGGGGAGAGGGGTGGGATCTCTCCCTGAGTGATCTCAGGATCACTCAAGGATCCTGAGTGGCAAGCCTCTCCCCACCCCCAGGTCCTCACGCAGGAGGCATCTGGGAACCACCCACGCATGTCTGGCACCTCCACGGGGGTCCCAACACCAGAACCAAGGCGCACAGAGGAGGAGCGGATGTTCTGAAGGGCCCAGCTGCCCCAAACCCCCACAGCTTGGCTCCCCAGCTCCTCTAGTTGAGAGGTTGAGACTCTGTTCATTCATCCTCAAGCAGGAGAGACCAAGGCTAGACTTGGATGACCCGAGAGGCTTGGTCTGAGCCCTGGGGAGCCAGAAGGGTCCCAGCTGCTGCCACGGAGGAGGTCAGATGACAAATGACATCAGCTCACCTTCAAAGTAGGTCCAGAAAGCAGACCCATCTCTGCCATCCTGGTCATCTTTCACCCTGCGAGGGCCTGCTGATCCCACCCTGGCCTCCACTCCTTAAAGTCAGTTGAGGAGAGAATGCCTGAGTAAGCTCAGACCCTCCCAATCTGCTCAAAATCCCTAAGTTTCCCATCTCACCTAAAGTCCTTGCACTGCCACTATCCCAACCTCCACACACTGATCTCAACTTTCCCCAAAACATTTATCTAATACACTATAGAACTGACTTGTATATTATATCCATGCCTTACCATCCACTCCTGTGACCCCACTGCCTAGAACAGTGCTGGACATAGAACTAATGCTTGATAAATATTGGTGCAATGAATGGATGAGGGCACATGGATTCAAGTCCAAGCCAACTCGTTCGCTGTCAGACAATGGAAAAAAATCATTTAACCTCTGTGAACCTCAGTTTTCTCATCTGTGAAGTGGAACAATAAGGATCACCACCCCCTCCTCCGAAATACTGAAAAAGCAAAATTTGAGGCCAAGGTGTTGGACTGTTGCCTGGGCTGGGGGAAGAAGAATGCAGCCACCGTTTTGGCAGGAAAAGCTTTGATAGGGGTCAGGGACTCTGGAAAGGGGCGGTCCAGTCTACAGGCAGGGGGCCTACACACCTCAGAATTCCCCAGGCTGGAGATGCTCCCTAGCCTTCACTTGTTTTAATCCAGTGCTGGCATTAAAAGAGGGTTTCTTGATTGGAGTGGGGGGGAAATGGGTGGGGCAATTTAGAGCTCTGTTAGGAGGTGGGATTCATTCTGAATGGAGTCCTGGGCAGGAGATCGGGTGTGGCGGGCAGGAAATGGGGGCGGGGCTCTCAAAGGCAGAGGTGAGGTAGGGGGCGTGTCTGCTCCCCTTTCCCCACTCTTCCCACCCCCCGGCCCAGACCTCAAAGACTGGAGGAGTGGGCGCTGCCCCTTCTCTGAAGAGCTCTGTTAGTTCCGGAGTTGAGGATTAGGGGCAAGGAGAGTGCCTAACAAAACGCCCAGGATCCGAATTCCGCTCTCGGAGCGACGCCCAGGTAGGTACAGGGGAGGCCAGGGGGCGGAGCTGTCGCGGCTTGTTCTCGGCTTAAGAAAGAGGTCTCTGGGCACTGACCGCCCGCCACCCACCTCCCCATCCCCCTCAATCCCCACCCTATTCAGGCTACCTGAGTCCAGATGCTGAGACGGAGACCTCTTGTCTTCGTCCCCCGGCCGAGTGCTTCCTCGAGAGGGCGCCCCCTTCCCTCTCCCCCGCAGGGCGGAGGCGGAGCCTAGACCAATGCTGCCCGCACTCTCAGGGCTGGAGGGAAAGGGGAGGAACGGGGACCCCCCCCAGGGGAGGGGCCCGGGGCGAACGCGGCGGGGCGTCTCCCTCGCAGGCCCGCCCCCCGCTTCCGGCCGCCTCTGCCGCCGCGCGCCGCAGCAGCGCCGCCTTCCCTGCGCAGTCGGTGTCTCCGCGTCGCTGGGTGAGTGGGGGCCGCTGGGCCGGGGCTAGGGGGTGCGAGGAGGGAGCATCCCGGAGGCGGGGGGCCACGTCCTGGACACACCAACCCTGCCGCTCCCGGGCCGCCCAGGAATTTTCCCTCGGGGGACCCAGGTAGTGGGGCTGCCCCAGGGAAACGCGCGGCGCTCTCCAGGGTCCTGACCGCCGAGTGGCCAGCCTGGAGCGGCGTTTCGGCCGCCTCGGGACGCCCCCTCTAGGAGGGGCCACGCGCCCGGCGCTCTCTCAGAGCTGAAAGGATTGAGGCGAGGGTCAGGGCGAGAACTGGGGAGAGGTTTGGAGAGGGTCTCCGAGGCGGATTTCTTAGATTCAGCTTAGGTCCTTCCCATTTGGGGGGATTGGGGGTCTTCGCGGAGACCGCAGAACCTTCTGCCACCCTCGTTTCCAAGTCTTCCAACTGGGAGGGGGGCAACTCTGAAGGTGGCAGGGAGGAGGGGGCACTGGGAGATCTTTCCTGCCCAGCGCATCTCTCTGCCCCCGCTCAGATGACCCAGTTCCTTGGACCTTGAGGAGGGGACTGGGGGACACACTCGGCCGCCCTGGCCCCAGGCATTTCCTCCGTGCCCTCCCACACACTTGTTCAGTGGGTCCACAGCCTGGGGCAGAAAAGGCTGATTTAGAAAAGAGGGCCACCAACTTACAGAAACATGCGTGTGACACGCTGCTGAGGACACACTTAGGTCCTCCAAATGGCCACACAGGCACATCCTCCTCACACTGTGATGGGTGCACACCTAGTCACACGCTCACATATGCACATGCACAGATATGAACTGAAACATGCAGGGAGACAAATGCAATGCAGAAGCCAGGGACAGACATGCATGCATGAGCACACGCACTCACACATGCTCATACATAAGTGCACATGCACACACAAGGAACCCCCCTCCCCTTTGCTCTATCTCACAGCCCCAGGCTGGGGGGGGGGGCGAGATTCACCTGCATACACCCCCACATCCCTGCCCAGAACTGCCTGGCTGCCTCCTCTCCAGCACCTTCCCCTTAGCCCTCCAGAGTCTAACCTCTTGCACTGAGGAAACCTTTCTGAACTAGATGAAAGGTAAGTGTTGGGGGATGGTTGACTGGCTAGGGGTCTCCCTAGAAGAGGGGACCTTCATAGGTCTGAGAAGTGTTGCAGCTCCCTCTCCTGGCACCTGGCAGCACCCCTGGGTAAAGAAAGAAAGATGGCAAGGGTGTCTGAGGGTCCCACGTGCAGCTGGCCATGTGAGAGGTGTCGGCATGGGAGCTGGCTTATGATGCATTCATGAGACATGTGGGGTCGTGGGCTGGTGTGTCTTGATGCACAGGGTATGGGAGTTGTGTGTGTGTGGTGCTGTGTTAGTACGTGTGAGCTGCGGAGCAGAGGGAATGTTGCTGTGTGTGGAGGCATGGTGACCCTGGGTGGGTGTGTGCTGGGTGCTGGCATGTGAGTGGCAGGGGATTTGTGTGTGGATTTGGTGAGCTGTTTAGCATAATAGACATCAGTATGTATTCATTTGTTTACTGTTGGCATCTGGATACCTGAAAATCTCTTTTATTTATTTAACACTTAGGTAGCACTTATATGTGCAGGCATCTAAGTTCTTCATATGTATTAACTAATTTAATCCTCACAACAATAATGAGGTAGGTACTATTACCCCCACATCACAGACAAGGCAGAGTTTAAGGAACTTGCTCAAGGTCACATAGGTGGTAAGAAGCAGAGCTGGAAAAAAAAAAAAAAGAAGCAGAGCTGGAATTCAAACCCACGTGGTCCGGCTCTGGAGCTCAGGCTAACCTGTCTTGTTCTGCCTCTTGTCAAGCACACATGTGTGGGAGGGAGAACAGGTCAGTGTTTGGGTTGCAGGTGTATTTTACGTGAGCAGGTGTATGTGACGCAGTAGGGGGGTAGTGGACAGGAGGGAGGAAGACCAGAGGGCCATTTTGCACCTGGCTGGCAACTCTGGGAGTTAGCACTGTGTCTCCATGGCTATGTGACCTGAACCAGGTCACCTCACTTCCTTGAGCCTACCTTTTCATCTGTAAAATGGGCTAATCGCTAGGCTTCACTTTGTGAGGGCGAAGTGGTGTACTCCTGGGAAGGAGTGGTAGCTGGCACTGAGAAGGGCTTCAGTAAAAGTGAGCCCCTTCTCTTCCTCTGTCTCTGGGTCTGTTCCCTGCGGAAGTAGAAAGTCTGGGGAAATGGTGTGGGACTGACAGAGTGCCAGGGTGCTTGGCAGGCTGTGCGATCTTGGGCCAACTCCCCTGTCTCTCTCCGGGTCAAAGGAGAGCCTGGGGTGGCGGGGGGCTTCCTTGGAGTGCTGTCAAAGGGCCAGGAGGGCCTGACTGCTCCTTTGTCCTCTGACCCCCCCTGGGGACCCAGGTGGGACTTGGCTCGGTGGCCATGGGCAAGCAAAACAGCAAGCTGCGGCCGGAGATGCTGCAGGACCTGCGGGAGAACACAGAGTTCTCCGAGTTGGAGCTGCAGGAGTGGTACAAGGGCTTCCTCAAGGACTGCCCCACGGGCATCCTCAACGTGGACGAGTTCAAGAAGATCTATGCCAACTTCTTCCCCTACGGTGACGCCTCCAAGTTCGCCGAACATGTCTTCCGCACCTTCGACACCAACAGCGACGGCACCATCGACTTCCGGGAGTTCATCATTGCGCTGAGCGTGACCTCGCGGGGCCGCCTGGAGCAGAAGCTCATGTGGGCCTTCAGCATGTACGACTTGGATGGCAACGGCTACATCAGCCGCGAGGAGATGCTGGAGATCGTGCAGGTGGGCCCCTGGACCCCTCAGAACGCCAGGCACAGGCCCCAGCAGCTTGCACCCGCCAGCCCTCTTTACCCTCCCAACAGTCCTTGTGGGTAGGCGAGTGGCAGGTGCTATTCTTATAGCCTATTTTAAAAAGTCTTTAATAGGAAGTAATTTCCGATTTAAAGAAAAGTTAAGAAAACTTCCGTGTACCCTTAACCCAACTTCACCAATGAACACTTTATCACATTTGCTTTATCATTGTGTGTGTGTGTGTGTATGTGTGAGATGTTCTGTTGTTCTGAACATGACCCTCCACCCCTGAATACATCAGGATAGATTTCCTAAGAACAAGGACGTTCTCTTACATAACCCATAATATGATTATCAAAGTCAGGATGTTTAACATAGAAACAATGTTAGTATCTAACTTACAGACACATTGAATTCTGCCAGCTATCTCAATAATGTTCTTTATAGCATTTTTTCCTCTGCCCCAAGATCACACATTGCATTTAGTCATCCTATCTCTTTAGGCCACTTCAATCTGTAATAGTTCCTCAGCCCTCTTTTGTCTTTCAAGACTTGACATTTCTGCAGAGTACAGGCCAGTTGTGTTTCATTGATCCCAACTTATTCAGGAGGAAACGGATGCTCAGAGAGGTAAAGACATTTGCTTGAGATCACACAGACTGTGAATGGGCCACCTGGCTCTGTCACCCACATTCCATCTGGATACCCAGCCATCTTCCAACTAATTGATTGAGAGCCCACTAAGAGCCTAGTACTGAGTGAAATCCTTATACCCATAAGCTCAGTGCATCCTTACAACAACCCCATGAGGCTCAGAGAGGTGAAGTTGCTTGCCTAACATCACACAGCATGTATGTGGAGTCAGGTTCAAGTTGGCCAACACTCAGAGCTGCCTCTTTAAAGGAGTCAGACTTCCAATTCTGGAGTTGGCTTCAGCTCTTACATAGCTCAACTGTAAAATGGGGATAGTGAGGCACATCTCACAGGGTGACTTAAGGACCTGTTAGGAATGTCCTTTCTTAGTACAAATTTAAGTATAGCATATTAGCTTTATGTCAGAAATCTTCTAGAGTGCTCATTCCCTCAGCAACATTGAGGTCCATCAGAGATCTGGTTCTATTTTACCTAGTCAATTCCTTGTTCACTTTTCTCCTGAGCCTCTGTTTCTTCACCTGTAAAGTGAGGGTGTTAACCCCTACTCCCAAGGCTATTGTGGGTATAAAGCAAGATGGGAACTCTAGTAGAGGGCCTGGCATATATCTGGCTCTCGGTAAACATTAGTAATTGTCAATTGTTGTTTTCTCTTCCGCACATTCTCCACTCCAGCTGGAGTGGCCTTTCCAACATCCTCAGAATGTGCTACTTTGTACAGGCTCTTGTTCTTTTTCCTTCTGTCTCTCTGAATCCCTTCCCTTCTGGCCCCTCAGTGCAGCTGACTGCCCCCCTCCCAACTCATCCAGCCTCTATTGGATTCTTGACTTTGGCTTCTGGGTCTGCTCTCTCCAGCTAGAATAGGATGAGCTGCCTTTGGATGTGGTGTCTTCCCTATGTCTATTACTAGGGGAAAGCCTTAATGATTGTCAGTAACTCCCCTGGGCCAGGCAATAACTCTCTAGTTGATGGATAGTGGGGAGTTCTCGGGGTCCTGATGGAAGGGCTGGGGTAGCCAGGGTGGTAGAAGATCTCTCAGGGATTGGGCAGCAGCTCGATACCAACCAAGCCATGTGAATGTTCATGTTTTACCACATAGTGTGGTTGCACTGGTGTACACTGGTAAATCTCAGCCTTGCTGGAAGCTCCAAACCCAGGGCATTGGTCAAGCCAGCACCATTCTCTGGACATCCTCAGGACCCCTTCCAGACTGGCCTCTGCTATTTAGACAGACCCTGGTTTCTTTTACAGCAGGCCAGGGGCCCCAGATAGCCAGTGCAGACAGGACTCTGCAAACCTTAGTGACTGATTAATTACAAGTTGACTCCAGTGAAACAGTGAGTGAGCAGTAATTCCAGACAATTAATTAGGAAGCCCGAGAGAAGGCCAGTCACAGGGGAGCAGTCACTCTCTGAGTCATTCACTCAGTCCTTCTCAGGACCCAGCCCTGAGCCAGGTGTTAGGCATATTAGAAGGGAGGAGATCTTGCCTCAGTCTCTGGAGCTCCCACTCTGCTGGGAGAGACAAGTGTGCAGGCCACACAGACCAGCTCAGTGACAGGGGTACAAAGATGACATTTGAGAGTCCAGGGGACTGAAGGGCAGAGAAGACCTGAGGATGTGGTGGATGAGTAATGATTATAGTATAAGTTGCTGCTTACTGACCACTTACTCTAGCCAACTATATACATTATCTCATTTAATACTCTGGACAGTACAAATGAGGGAGATATGATTACTCCCTGTTTTACAGATGAGGGAACTGAGGTTAGGTGCTTGTCCAAGGCTACAGAGCAAGTGATTCGTGGAACCAAGATGCTATTCCTGGTCAACCTTACTTCAAATACCCTGTTTTGAGGGGTCGTTAGCACTCCAAAATCATCTATCCAATGACTAAGAGGGAGAGGGTTCTAATCTGGTCTCTGCCATCAGTTTCCTTTCTGAGCCTCAATTTCTTGTCTGGAAAATGGGGATCTTAGTACCTGCTTTTCAGGGCTATTGCAGGGGTGAGAATAATGTATGTAAAAGTACCTTAACACAGTGGGTGTCTGTAAATAGTAGCTAGTATTACTGTTCCAGGCAGAGGCTGTAAAACCTGAAAGGTGGAGGAGTATTTGGATATGGCAAAATCATCTACTAGGGGAAGCCTGATGGTGGAGAGCAGGGACCAGTGTGAAGTGCCTTGAATGCCAAGGGACAAATGTTTGGACTTGGTAACAGGGCAGTGGGAGGTGCCAGTGGCTTTTAAACAGGAGAGTCCCTGCCAGATGCCAGGCACCCTGCTAAATTCTACAGGTCTGGGTACTTTGTTCTTATCTGTATGCTGGGGGTAAGGAGCAAAGGCATAAAATTACTTCTGGAGAGGGGTCCCCAATGGAGGCGCTAGGGCAGCATATGGGCCCTGACCCAGCCCGCATCAGAGAAGGCCTCCCTAAGAAAGCACCATATAAGCTGAGCCCCAAGGAGGAGTGGGAGGCAGCAGAAGGAGCGTGGGGCAGCATCCAGAAGGAGCTGCGTGCAGGGCAGGCCTGGAGGGAGGCCTGTGTATCACGGGAACGAGGGGGTGGCCCTGGGTTGGGGACGAGACAGTGGAGATCTCTATTTGGAAAGAGCTTTCAGAGGTGGCCCTGGGAACAGACCCGAGAGAGGCCGGAAGGCACCACTGCGGAGGCTAAAGCTGGATCTGAAGCTAGGGAAGTTTATGGTCTGGGAGAAGAAGGCTGGCTTCTCGGAGGAGGTGTCAGTAGCAAAAAGCTGGCAGACTGAGGCGACCAATCCGGGTCCCTGAGCTCCGGGACTGCGGGACCCAGCCCACAGGCCAAGTCCTACGTGCTCTGTGTACATTTAGCGCAAACCCCCTCCTTAGAGTTGCCTCGGTAGCTCCTGTACCTGGCGACTGCGGTCCTCCGCCCAGCCACATCCCAGGCTGTCCCCGCCCCCGACTGATGTCCCGTGCGTTTATTTGCATAACATACCCCGCCCCCTGTGGACCTAGCAGCCTCCCGCCCTCCAGCCCTTAGGGCGGCCCTGCGCCCCCTGCCGGCCACAGTGGCATCGCAGTCCAGTGCCACCCGCTCAGGCCCAGCGCTCTCTGTCGACCGAGGGCGGGCCACCCGGAGCCCCGAAGTTTCTGAGAAGCGGCTCTTCTAACCTGGTGCTACACTGGGAACCTTCGGCGTCTGGCACAAACTCCTTAGCTGGGCATCCCGGACCCTTCGCCATGTGGGCCCCGATGTCCTCCAACATCTCTCCTGACCCCCTGTATTCAGCCAGCCCCAGATTCTCGGTGCCCACTCAGAGCTGCTCTCTGCGAGGCCTTTGTGCATGAAAATTCCTCTGCCACCGAACGCTCCAGAGGAACTTGGTCAGGGACCGCTCCAATAGCCCCCTCTTCCGGGAAGCCTTCCTGGTTACTTCTTCCAGAACTCCCCAGCTCCCCACGCCTCCGCCGGCCCCACTCCGCCTCACCTCGGTGGGAGCGGTGATCGTCAGCGCACCTGCGGGTGTTTTTTGGACAAAGTTGGGGGTGGAGGGCTCCGACAGGCTCCCCTCACGCTCTGCCTTCCCAACCCGCCCTCTGCCCCCCAGGCCATTTACAAGATGGTTTCGTCCGTGATGAAGATGCCGGAGGACGAGTCGACCCCGGAAAAGAGGACCGAGAAAATCTTCCGCCAGATGGACACAAACAACGACGGTGAGGAGGCAGGGGCGGGCGCGGCGGGCACCACTTACCCTTCCTATGCTGCAGCTCTGCTCGGCCACCCCTAGCTGCTGTTGCCTTCTCCCCCCAACACTGCCGCCCCACCCTCGCCCCGCAGGCAAGCTGTCCCTGGAGGAGTTCATCCGCGGGGCCAAAAGCGACCCGTCCATCGTGCGTCTGCTGCAGTGCGACCCCAGCAGCGCCTCCCAGTTCTGAGCAAGAGGAGCCAGGTTTCCCCTCCCTGCCTTCCCTGACCCTCTCCCGGCTCTCAGCTTCCTCGCCCTTGTGTCCATCCAGGCTGGGGGGCAGATGGCCACCCCCAGGGTCTGCACTCTTGGCGGGGGCTCTGGAGAATGGAACCCTGCCGTCCCCCCAAGGTCCAAGCTAGCAAGTGGTTAGCACCCTCGCCCCCCCCCCCCCACCCCCACACCCCCCCCCCCCCCCCCCCCCCCCCACCCCCACATCCCCCCATCCATCCAGAAGGCAATATCTCCCTTGGCAGTGATAGAGACAAGGGCTCTGGCCTGGTCTGCCCCTCAGAGTCAGCCCTCCCTTACCTAGATATCAGGACTTAAGCCCCTCTCCCCTCCCCTGTATCCCCCAGCCCCCAGCCAAGAGGCCAGACATCCCTCCCCCAACCATGGGGCAAGCTCCCCCACCTCCACCCCCACCCTTGTAGATCTCAGCCGTGGTGGAGCTGGGAATCACACCCAGGTAAGGAGCTTGTCTTTTTATTTGGAGAGGAGAGAAGGATTCCAGAGGCCTAGGGGCTTGAGGAGAAACCATCCTTGAGCCATCCTTCCTGGCAGGAGGGCCTCAACCCCGCCTGCTCCTGCCCTTGCTGGCCTGGAGGCCCTGATGCAAGAGGGAAACCTCCTGTTTCCGGCCCCCCAGCTGTGAGGCCCAGGAACCCACGCTTGCGTTTTGGCATTCTGATGAACACAGACCCCTCTGTGTTATCTCTCAGATACACACACAGACCCACAGACAGATGGGCAGACACACCTGGAGCCCCCCCACCCCAAAAGCGTCCTGTATGGAAAAGAACAGACCCCCCCTGGCCGCACCCCTCCCCTGCTGCATGCACCCACATGGAGCATCTCTGTTCTTTTTAATGACTTCAGAATAAAGTCTCCTTTCAGTGCAGCGGGCTGGGTGGCTGGAGGAGAAGGGTGAAAACCTCACCCTGGTCTTGGAGTGGCCATTGAGCCCTCTTGGCTGGCTCCAGGAGTACTGGCCTGATCGCAGTGTGGACTTGGTTGCAGGGCCCCAGTGGCCACGGGGCCTGGATGAGACATCAGCTGTCAGAGGGTCATGGGCCCCGAGCTAGCGTGGGTTGGCAGGTCAGGGTCCTCCACCGGCTCTGGACTCTCCTGCATCTGTGGAGACACCAGAGGCTGCCAGGCCCCCTGGGGCTGGGTTTGGATGTCAGGACATCTAGGAAGTGGGAGGAGGGGAGGACTGGGGGGATCTTTGGGGTGAAGGGACACCATTACTCTCTACTATGCAAGAGGGAGGCCATACGCCTGCAGTGCCCCCAGTTCCAGTCCAGATCCCTCTCCTCCTGCTCAAGACTCATCCTGGGGCTCAGGAGAGCCAAGTGTCAGCTGTGTGACTTCACTGGGAAAGCTGAGTTCTCCGAGCCTCTGTGTTCTCCCTTTTGTCCTGGGGGAGAAGACTGTTGCCCCAGTTTTCAAGGTGGGGGCTCTTTACGGAGGGGTGGGGGCAGATCAGTCTGAGCCCCCCAGCAGGGGCTCCCAGGGGGTATGAGGGAGTTTTCAGAGCTTGCGGGGGGCGCTGGGTAGCATGCCTTACCATGCGATGGCTGCTTTTCCCCAACCAGGGCCTCAGTTCCAGCAGCTGGTGGGCGAGCTGGGCGGTGCGGACAGCAAACACACTCTCTGCCACACAGAACAGTAACGAGATGCCCCAGAGACACAGGCTGGAGCTCTGAGGGGGACAAGGGGCGGAGATGGTCACCTGGGGTTGGGGAGTGGAGGGTGGGACTCCAAGAGCCCTACCCACCTCTGATGAGCCCCTGGTTGCTCCCCTCCCTCCCCCCAGCCCAGGCCTAAGCACTTACGTAAATGCGTGTAGGGTCGAAGGGACAGTCAGGTGCCAGTGCCAGGCGTTCGGGGCCCCCAAAAGTGCAGGCGGCCAGCAGTGCCCGGCCCTGGGTGGCAAAGGTCACGGCGATCGAAGCCAAGAGGCCGAGAGCACAGGTCAGAGAGAGAAGGGCACAGGCCACACTCAAGCTAAACACTGTCCAGCGCTAGATAGAGAAGACCACTGGTCAGTGGACATCAGGCCCAGTCCCCTGGGCAGCTCTAGCCCCTGTGGGGTCAGCCTTATGCCCTCCAAGCAGGCCAGATCTTTGGAGGTAGCTGCTGCCCTGACCCCCATAGCCCCATCCCAGGAGGTACCACATACCAGGGGGATGCTGGGGAGGTAGCGTGACAACACGATGACTGCAATGCCTGAGGTGATGACCTGCGGGGGAGACTCAGGTCAGCTCTGCCCCCCTCCCCTCGTTGGGGGAGAATGGGCAGGGGGTCCAGCCACTCTCCAATGAAGAGTCCATCATCTCCAACTCTAGCCCTCCAAACCCCCACCCCCGCTTAGCTTTGGTCTCACTTCCTCCATCTGTTCATGGGCGCTGTCTCTTCATGGTCCAGCCCCAAAGTGACGCTTCTAAGACACGGTCACTCGCTGCCGACAGCCTTCCCTGACTCCCCACTGCCTACAGCTGTTTCTCAAACCTCTATATCCCAAGGGTCCTAGATGTATATCCCAAGGATATACATGACACGTCTCCCTGTAGTGGAAAAGGTTTTGGAAGACACGAAGTAACTTGACTGGCAAGGAACTGAAAAAAACAACATTGTTATTTTAAAATAGACCAGGACACTTTATGGAGTAGAGTTCCAAATCCTTAGGAGTATGTTAAACTCTCCCAGGCTCTCAGTGACCTGGCCCTGGCCCATCAGTTTCTCAACTCCACTCTGGGCCAGGCTCTTCCCTCGTCACCCTGGATGTGGACACCCACGCAGGGCCTGACCTTGATGCCACCTACATAGCGCCTTCTCAGGAACGCCCTTCCGGCTTCTCTTGACCTGCTTGGGTCTCCCTCCTGCAGGCCTCCCTAAACACCCCTGGTCCCAATAGGCGGGGCAGCTCCACTAGTAAGCCCACCAGCTGCCTTCTGGATCTCTTGGGTTCCACTCAGCCAGACTCCCTCCTTCAGTCCCCTCACTTTATCAGGCCTGGGCTGGACCCACAGGGGGCAGCTTAGACTCTGGAGGGCCCAGTAATGCCTATAATTTGCTCTGCGGCCACAAGTAAGTGCCTCAGACTCTCTGGGCGAATCCTGCTCAACAGAATGAGCCCCATGGAAAGGACACTGACTTTGGTGTTGGTCACGGGTTGTTTCACATCTAGGGTGGCTTCTTTGTATCAGCAGGAGGTTGAGTGAATCCCTGAGTCTCAGTTTCCCCATCTGTAAAGTGGGGATAAGAGTGGCCCTGTGTTGCAGGGAGCTGTGGGGATTACTTGAGGAAATGAGAGCACAGCTGAAGTAGTCCACCCCAGAGTCCATCTCTGGTGGACCTTCAACCCTGAGCTCACTGCCTTCCTTGCCTTCCTCACAAAGCTCGTCAGAGGAACGAAGAACAAAACAGGACACAGCACATATCTGCAGAGCCTAGCTCTATCCCACTGACAGAGGCTCCTCTACTTGCTGGGGCCTCTGATCCTCGCTTATGCAAGGCTTGGGGCCAGCGAGCTGTCTGAGCTTCACTTTGCAGGGGAGGGAGCAGGCTTAGAAGGAGAAAGAAGTCCCTCAGCCAGGAGGTGGCAGGGATGGAACTCAGACACGGATGTGACAATGTTCCCCGAAGGCTGCCGACAGCTCGGAAAAGGTTTTGTGAACTTGAGAATACCAGACTCCTTCATTCTTGTATTCATCAGCCAGGTACTGACATCCGGTCATAACCATGGCTTCTATTTATTGAGCCCATATCATAGTCCAGGGCTTCCCTGATGGCTATGCCTGCAGAATCTGTCTGCAGTTCCGGAGACCTGGGTTCAATCTCTGGGTGGGAAAGATCCCCTGGAGAAGGAAATGGCAACCCACTCCAGTATGTTTGTTTGTAGAATCTCATGGACAGAGGACCTGGCAGGCTACAGTCCGTAGGGTCACAAAGAATCGGGCACGACTGACTAACAGTTTCATTTTCACTTCATCATGAAGGAGTGGGTAGCTATTCTCTTCTTCAGGGTATTTTCCCAACCCAGGAATCGAACCCAGGTCTCTTGCATTGCAGGCAGATTCTTTACTGTCTGAACCACCAGGGCAGCCCGCTTTATGATAGTCCAGGCCTAATGCTAAAGCTCCTGCTGAACTGGCTTTCTCAGTGTCTCCAGAGGAGACCATATCTATTCTCACCTCCACACCTTTGCATCTGCTGTCCTCTGTACTTGAAATTCCATCCCAGTTTCCTCTCCTACCCGCTGCCCCAGCAGGCTTCCTACCCGTAACTGTAGCATATGGTAACTGTAGCATATCATCTTTGAACTCCTGTTCATCCATCAATACCCACCTCAGGGGCCTCCACCTCTGTGAACACTCCCAAGCTGAGTTGATGCTCCTTCCTTCTTCTGTCCAACGGTGCCTTGACTATTCCCCCGTTGCTATAATAATCCTTGCTTGAAGTAGTGAGGGCTAACTATGTACCAGGCACTGTGTTCAGGACTTTATGTGGATGATCACATTCAGTACTCCTCAGGACCCTCTCAGATGGACAGTGTTACCACCCCCATTTTATAGACGAGGAATCTGAGGCAAAGAGAGCTTGGGTGACTGGTCTGGTTGGTAGTGGTGGAACAGGGGTGAGTGCTCAGGGTTCTCTGCCTGCCCACCCCAGGCTGTGGGTGGGGACTCATCAAAGACCCTACCAGCCCCTGCCAGCCCCTCCTGCCAGTCATCCTCCCAGCCTGGCCATACCACGATGGCAGAAGTGACAGAGAGGATGTCGACCACGCAGTACTGCAGAGCCACAGCATCATTGGGGGCAGCCACGTAGCGCAGCACGGTGCCGTGGAGGAGAGCGGCTGCTATGAAGCTCACGTGGCCCAGCACGACCAGCACCAGCCCCGTCTTCATCAGTACCTTCCGGAAGTCTCCCACGCTCAGACCACCTGGGAGGGAGAGCCACATCAGGGCCATGGGTGGGACTCATTCCTCTAGCAGAGGAGGAAACTGAGGCCCCGGCAGGAGTGATGGACATTAGGTTCTAAATCTATTTCTGGATGATTCAGGGCCAGTAATTTGTCTTCTCTATGAGTCTCAGTTTCCTGATCAGAAAAAGGGGTCCACGTTACTTTCATGGGAGTCCTTGGATCACTAAGGTTGGAAAAGCATACAGGTGGTACTTAATAATAAGGGGTAATAGTCTTTGTTAGTGTTCAGGGTCATGAGTGGCACAGTCAGGATTTGAACCCAGGTGTCTAGCTCTAGAGCCATAATCCTCTAAGCTCTGCATCCCCTGATTTTTTTCACCCTACATTTGTTACATCAGTGTTCACTGAGTCCCTGTTCCATGCCAGGCCCCGAGGCACCATAGAGAGTTTGATGGTCCCTGGTCTAGACACCAGGGAGCCCCCAGTTCACTGGGCAGGGGTCAGGTACTATGCAGGACTCAGTTTGGTGGCTAGGACCTGGCACACAGTAGGGATTCAGCTCACAATTGCTGAACAGACTCAGGGCAAGAAACTCAAGCTTCTGAGTCTCCATTTCCCCATCTGCAAAATGGGAAGAATAACCCTTGTTTCCCAGTGGCGAAAGAGGGTCCCCATGAGAAGACAGATGGGAAAGGAGGGCATACCCTGGGTTCTAGGACACTGGGCAGGGACGCAGCACGGCAGGGAGGCTGGGGTCAAAAGGACATCATATGCAAATCCGATCTGAGTGTCCACCAGTGGCTGCTCAGCTCCTATCTGCACACCCCCAGCACCAGGGAGCCCTCCTCCTGGCTGTTCCAGATAGCTGATGCCTGGCTCTGCATATGATGGCCCCTGGACCCACCAGCCCATTCACTCTAGCCAACTCTGTGAAACTGAAAGACTGGTCTGGTCCCTAGAACAAGCCCCACTTCCTCCTTTAGCTGCTCCTTGTGGAGCCTCTGAGTCCCTTTCCAAACCTCCACGTCCCCATCAGTGGCAGAAAGGAGGATTGGGTCATGTTTCATATATGGGGGTTTTGCAGCAAGAAAGAAAAAAAGGAAAGGCGGGAGGGTAGGAGGGGAGGAATCCCTAGATTGGATGTTCTTGGGGGCCCTGTGCCAAGAGGAGGCCCCCAGGGAGCAGGGAGGGCTGGAGCTACTCAGTCACAGCCCCTCTTCATGACCCCCCACCAGCCTCTCTCCTTTCTGGGCCCCAGTTTCTTTCCCGAGAGGTAGAATGGGAAGGGGTTGGCCTAGCAGGCTTCTGAGACCCCTGCAGCCTGCAGGACGCTCTGGAGCTGTACCAGATCTAGGAGAAGCAGAGGGCAGATAACAGGCGGGACAGCCACCGTGGGACTGGATGGCGTCATGAAGATTAAGTGCTGGTCAAACAGGAAGGGGCATGGCAGCCTTGTCCCACGAGTCTGACCCACTTCACCTGGTCCACCCACCTCCCTGGCCACCCAGACACACCAAGTGGGCTCATGAGCAACAGCATCCCAGGACCAAGACTTGGTCAAATCGAAGGTACAGTGCCAGCGTGGGACTGTGCTTGGATCACTGGACAGAGTCTCGGGGCAGTCCTTCGGCTCAGGAAGGTTCTAGGAGGGGGTGCTACCCTCACCACTTTACAGAAGAGGAAACCAAGGCTCGAAAGTTCTCTCGGTTAGAGAGTAGGGATTCCCCAGATCTGTCCTATGCCCACGAGCAGCATCACTGTGTCCAGCGAGTGAGGGGAGGGGACCCGTCTGTCTCACTCCTCTGTCTGGATCTGGAGAGCAGAGGGTAGGGAAACCGGAGCCCTTTGCGAGGCTAAGAGAGCCAAGGGCAGGCAGCCTCGGGCTCAGAACTCCTTGGGCTCTGGATACCCCTCCCTCCACTCTGGCTTCTGGGCCAGAAGCAGCGGGCACTGCTTTCCTCCCATGGTGGTGTTGGGGGGGGGGGGGTCCCTCCTCCGCAAGAAAGGAAAGTGCAAGCGGGCAGGGTGCGACTCCACCTCGGGAAGATACCAGCAGCCCGCCTCTCGCCAGCTCAGTGCGGGGAAACTGAGGCCCAGAGCAGAAAGTGACCCGCAGAGAAGGTGGCCCGGACCACGGGGGTTCCGGGCACCCACTACAGTGCTCCGCCCCTGCGGGAGGATTTGGGGCGGGGTAGGGCCTCCCGGGCGGTCCCCCGATCCCCTACCCCCACCCCCGGCGCTCACCCAGGCGCAGACACATCTCGGCTCCGACGCCGCGTCTCCGCGGCGGCTTCAGCGGGGCTCCATCGCGGGCCGCAGCCGCCGCGCGCCCTGCAGAGCCCGCGCCGCGCCCACTTCCCGCCCGGAGCCCCGAGCTCCCGGCGCCCGGCCGGCCTCCCTTCCCGTCACCCCCCGGGCGGCCCGGCCCCGGGAGAGCCCCGGCGCCTCATTTACATCCTGGGCCGGTCCGACCGGCTGGACAGCCCTTCAAAGGCCCGCCCGGCTGATTCACAGCGTTGGCCCCACCCACCTGCGCCGGCCTCGGATGCCGGCCAGCGCCCGGCCACCAACTCCTCTAGCCCACCCCACTCCAGGGATGCCCATTTTACAGATGGAAACTGAGGCCTAGAGGAGCTGCGATCGTCTAGGCTAGGGAGTGAGATGGGGGCCTGATGCATGGTTGTCCTGACGGGTGGTCACATGGACAGGAAAGCCCCTGGGTGAAGACTGGGAATCCACTTCTTTCCATAGGGTGGGGAAACGGTGAGAGATGAAAGAGAACTACCTAGAGAATCGGGGAGTGACCTCGACCTGCTGCGAGACCGCAAGTAAATCACATTTCCTGCTGCCTCGGCCTGGGATCCTTCTGTGCCCCACACTGAACAAGGCACTTTACTTGTGGGGTGTAGTTGTTGGGGTGTCTCTGTTCTCTTCTCAGAAAGTCCGGGATAATAATTCTTGTCCCCTAAAGTCGTGAAAGTAACTCAGTCATGTCCGACTCTTTGTGTCCTGATGGAGTGCAGCCTGCCAGGCTCCTCTGTCCATGGAATTTTCCAGGCTAGAGTACTGGAGTGGGTAGCCATTCCTTTCTTCAGAGGATCTTCCCTACCCAGGGATCAAGCTTGGGTCTCCTGCACTGCAGGCAGATTCTTTACCATGGGAGCCACCAGGGAAGCCCTGAGTTGTGGAGAAGTACAAAAAAGCGGTGAGAAAGTGCTTTGAAAACCCTCCAGAGTATGTTTACAGACAAAGTGCAGAGCTAGCAGGAGCACATAATAGGAGTTGTACTATTCCTGACTGCTGGTTACTGTGCCTCTTCAGTGTACCAGGATGACCCGAGTCCTCCTCTCCTTCATCCTCAACATGTAGAAATGGACTCAAGCAAGAGCGTCCAGGGGAAGTGGGGGAGTAGAGGGTCTCTGTTCTCATATTCTCCAATGTGGCGGGGCTGTGGCTGCCTGCCTGTGCTCTCAGCCCTCAGGCAGGCCTCTGGTAGGCACTTTTATGGTCTCCAGGCAGCATCAGTTCACAGTCTGCACCCCTCACCCCTCTGGTCAGTGGCCTTGAGGGCAGGAGCTGGCTTGATGCATCTAACACCAGCTATCTGCTGATGCCGGTGCCTTGTGTGCGGGGCACACAGTTTACAGATGACCAAGTCCATCTCCCAGGGGCTGCCTTGGAGAGGGCGTGTGATCACTGCAAAGCCAATGTCAAATCTCACTCGTGTGCATGTATGTGGTTCCCTATCCGTATCAGGCAGTTCCCTTGACACTGAGCCCATTTGGGGCGGTCTGGAATGAGGCTGGGGACCCAGACGTTTTAAATGTCATTGCTTACAAATGAATAAAAGAGAATTCTCTCTTTCTAACCTTAGAGCAAAACTGAGAGTTAAATATTATTACTCCATTTTACAGATGAGAAAATTGAGCCGCAGAAAGGTAAAGTGGCTTTTCAAATAGCACACATCTATGAATGGTAGAACTGAGACTTGAATCCAGATCTATGTAACTTTGAAGACTGCTTCTGAGTGAAGTGGGGGGATGAGAGGGCATAGTCTCCAGGGAGTGGGCCTGCTCTCTGGGACCTCTGAGGAGAGAACAACCCACCTTTTGCTCCTCTGACCCAGTTTCTTGGCCATGGCCCAGCCTTAGCCGCCTGAAGTTATAACCACTTCTCTTCCTTATTGCCAAGCGGCCAAAGTTCATTCATCTGAGTTGTCCAGTGTCCCTTGCCTGTGCCCCACCCTTCTGCACACTGGCCTAGGTTTCTGGGGTTCTGGGAAGAAGCCTAGACTAGAGCACTAGCCCCCTGTGCTCCACCAACTCACTATGACACTCTGGGAGCTCACTGTTCTTCTCCAAGCCTCAGTTTCCCCATCTGTCAAATGAAGATAGTGATAACCTTCTCAGATTTCTGAGGGGTAAAATGACTTGAGAGATATGAGAGTGGGTTGAAACCTAGCCAGAGAAATACAAATAGAAATTCTCTCTCTTCCTAGAACATTTAACAACCAGGTGTGGCCCAGTACACTCAAATTGGACTCTGGGTCCTTCCCATAGGGCTGCTCAGCTGGGAAGGGGTTCAGGCTTCCAGTCCTTGAGTGAGTCCTCTTCATTTTAGCAAGGCGTTTCCCTCCCTGATTATTAGAACAGTTCCTGCCTGTAAGTAGAACGATCACACACACACCCTACCATATTCAGTTTTGTGTGTGTGTATAAACACACACACATAAAACAAAAAGCCAAGTGATCAAGCTTGTCTGAGAGAAGGAGGTGGTTGAAGGGGACTTAGGCATGTTTACAATGACCAAGTCTACATGGTGTGAATGAGGGATTTGTTATTCTGTGTAGTTTTTCTAGCTTTTACCTTTCTGTTTATCTTGTTTACATATTCATTTATTTTTAGACCATCCCGAGTTCACGTGGGATCTTAATTCCTCAGTCAGGGATCAAACATCACCCCCTGCCCCCGCCCTCCCTGCACTGGACGTGCGGAGTCTTAACCACTGGAGATTTTTTTAAAAAGCTTATTTGTAGAAAACTTAGAGGAAAAATGGGGAAATATAAAGAAAAAAGTGGAGCTACTCATAACCCTCTCTGCCCCCACAGATAACCATGGCTCACATTTTGGAGGGTTTTCTCCTGAGCGCCTATGTAATTTTCTCCTTCTCTGTGACTTCTGCCACCTGGTTCTACTCTGCCTCCCCTCTCATCGCCTTGGTCTGTTGCCCTCCGTGTCACCCACTTCTGTCTATCAAGGACTTGGGTTTCCGGATCTAAGTCTGGCAATCATTCCTCATGTCCTGCTCATCCATGTGAAGGACCCTCTAATACCCTCCCTTGACCTTCATCATGACCCCAGTTATTCTCTCCAGGTTCAGGTTTTGAATGGTCCCTTTTGAAATCCCAGCCTCGAGCATCCCACAAAAGCCTGTCTTGCATCTTATGTCTTTTGACTCCCATGGCCTCGTACTCTGACCTTCCAGAGGCCACTGGCCCATTCTATTTTCTTCTGTTCAGTTAACCACCTCCTGACCTCTTCGCACCAAACTTACATCACAAGGTTGAGCATCTAACGGCCAGCTCAGCTGTCCAGGTGAGAAATGAGAAGTATAGGAGACTTGGACTGGGACCAGGATGGTGGCTGTGAAGACGGAGAGAAGAGGGGAGAATTAAGATTTATGATTCGGATGCATGTTAAAATTTGAAAAGCACTGTTCTGAATCCACTCGCCTTATTCCTTCTCTCAGTCACTCCTCCAGCTCCACATGGACCACACTTCATCTCTCATCCTCTTCATTTCTGCCAAGTCTTTCCCATCAGCCAATAAACATACCCAAGTCTCTTCTATCCTAAAAAAAACACATGTTCCTTTGGCTCCCTTTACATTTCTAGTTACTGCTTTTTAACTTTCTCTCCCTTCCTCTCCAAACTTCTGGAGTGAATTATATTTACATGCTGTTTCCATCTTCTCAACTCCCGTCTCCTCCTCAATCCACAGCAGTGCAATTCAGCCCACCACTGGAAGAGGCCTCATCTAGGTCACCAGTGACTGCTGACCACGCTGAATCCAGTGAAACAGTTCAGTCCCTAACTTACTGTTATCAGTCGCTCTCTCCATACTCTTGTTACGCACCTCCTCCCTGGATTTCTTCCTACCTCTGGAATTCCTTCTCAGTCTCTATTTTGGACTTTTTGTCATCAGCTCAACTCTTAAATACTGGTATTCTTTTGTATCCTTTCTACTTCCTTTATGGGTCCCATTGGTTATTTCATGTAGTCTCATGGCTCCCCTTTCATTTGATGATTCTCCCAGACCAGAGAGCTTCCTTGAGGATCAGACTTAAATACCCAGTGATTATACCTCTCCACCTGGGTGTCCAGTCATCTCATGCTGAACATGTACCAGCTTTCCCCCGAAACTGCTTCTTGTGTTTTCCATTTCCGTAGGTGGCATCACAATGGACGCAAGCCAAAAACCCGGGAGTCTTTCTCTACGCTTTCCTCTCTTTCTATGTAAGTCAATTGTCAAGTCCTGCCGATTTACATCATAGATATTTCTGTAACTAGTGCTTTCTCCTCGTCTCTGCTACTACTGTCCTTGTTCAAGCAGCATTTCTTCCCCCCCAGCTGGTTTTTCATACTACTGAGTAATCTTCCTGAAGTATAAATCAGATCACATCACTCTTCTTTTTTAGGATTTGGAAAGATCCAGTCTGTTTTTTTTTCTTGGTAGGTTTTACTTATTTATTTTATTTTTGGCTGTGCATGGTCTTTGTTGCTGTTTGGGCTTTTTTTCAATAATTGTGTCTAGCGGGGGGCTACTCTCCAGTTGTGGTGTGCCGGCTTCTCATTGCAGTGGCTTCTCTTGTTTGGAAGCATGGGCTCTAGCTTGCACAGGCTTCAACGGTTGCAGCATGTGGGTTCAGTGGTTGCAGCCCCCAGGCTCTAGAGCACTGGCTCAGTAGTGGTGGCACATGGGCTTAGTTGCCGCTCCACACGTGGGATCTCCCTGACCAGGGATCGAACCTGTGTCTCCTGCATTGGAAGGCAGATTCTTTACCACTGAGCTACCAGGGAAGCCTGATCATGTCACTCTTCTGCTTAAAATCAGTAACATAAAAGAAATTAATTAAGACAAATAAATGGAAAGACTTCCGCGTTCATGGATTGTAAGCCTTAATATTATTAGGATAGCAATTCTCTCCAAACTGATCTACAGATTCATTTCAATCTCTCTCAAAATCAAAGTTGCCGCTTTTTCTTTTTTTTTGCAGAAATTGACAAGCTGATCCTAAAATTCATATGGAAATGCAGAAATCTAGAATAAGCCAAAATATCTTGAAAAAGAAACAAATTGGAGGAATCACATATTTCAGTTTCAAATTTTACTATTATAT